GGCGGGAGGGGCCGCGCTCGCCCGGGCGTCGTTCCGTCCTTCAAGACCCGCTCGTCTCCGACTTGCAGACGCTCTGCGGGGCCCCCGGCTCCCGGACTCTTCTCCGGCGCTGTTCTCTTCTACACCGATCACGCGACCCCGGGGCCTCCACGCGCGGGCGTGGCTGCGGCCGTGCGCCTTCGAGCCGGTCAGTGTCGCCGGATTCTGAATTTCCCGGGACTTTCTGCCTGTGTGTTACGTTCTCACTTCTCAGGCCCCCTTCTCCTCGCTCCCACTTCCAAAGTCCACCGTTTCCCCTCGTCCTCTAATCTCTGTCGCCGCCGGGAATCAGTCCCCCAGGCAGAGAGGCTGCGGTTTCTCCTGGAGGAGTCTGCTAGAGAGGAATGCCGTTCCTCACTGGGGTAAACCAGAAATTCCGAGATACAGGTTTCTTGGAACACAAGACTTGGGCGTCCCCTTCTCTGAGACAAGCGTGTCTTGTAAGCGATCTAAGTACAGGCACTTGGTATAAGAGTTGGACAAGCGGCGTCTTGGTGTTCGGGGCCTGACCTTGAGGATGCGCGAGGGTAACCTGAGGTCCCGGGGGCCTGACAGTGAGCCCCGCTGGGAGCAGGAGAGCTGGAGGCCAGAGTGTGCGCCCATGCGGGTCTCACGGGCGCTTTGCAGCTTGTCCCAGAGAGAAACTCTCTTTATTAGTCTCTTCGGCGCAGGCGTGAAGGGATTTAGGATTAAACATATTTTAGCTATCTCCTGAATACACTGAACTCTTTGAACCTCATTTGAAAATGAAGATTTAAAAAATCTAATTTACAAGGTAATTACAGAGATGAGTCTTTCTACACCAGGCAGGGGAGAGACCTCAATAAATGTTAGCCCCCTTCCCTCTTGTTGTCATTGTGGATTTCATCTAAACATTTTCAGGTAAAGTGGCTCAGAGCAGCAAGTTTTATTTGCTTCAAGAGAAGATAGCTTGTGATTTGTGAACGTTCTGTGTTTTTAGTTTCCCAGTTAAGAACATATTCTTCAAAAACCCTACAGTGATTATGCACCGATGGATTTCGGGTAACAGCTAATAAATGTTTTCCTTCTTATAGTTTTCAGGATGAAAAAAGTGGTGTATAGAAATAAGTTTGAGGCAACGTGATAGCAATATTGACACAACACTGCTTCAAAATAAATCCATGCTAAAAATGATAATTATCAAAAATTATTGTTTTCTATTTCTTCCCTGAGAGGCCTTGAAAATATGTGATAAATCATGAGTAAAGTTAACAGGGATTCCACACTTCCTGTCTACTAATTCTGAATTAAACCGTTTTCTTTTGAAAGGCAAATTACTTCTTTCTGCCAATTCACCATCTAGAAATTGAGTTACAAATGAAAGCCTCTTTCTTCCCTAATGAAATCAAGGAAGAAATAAAACAAACTCCTTTGTGTAACACACACCATTGTTCAAGATTACGAATGGGGTCATGTGGTGTTTGGTAATTATGCGTATTTTGATCAAATATTTAAACTTTTGAAATTCCTTAGTTGTGTACAAATCCATTCAGTTTACTCTGCTGCCTCACTTATCCACACAGACTGTCAGTCTGTGATTCCATCTCATTGGACTGACACACGCGTGGAGGTGACAGGACAGAAGACTAGGTGACGCTGATGGAGCTAGGTGTAGTCACAGTGAAAGGGGTTTGAAGAGTTCTTTCCTTTCAGAGGAAGAGAGGGGTCCAGTCACGGCTGCCCTTTTAGGTCTGCCCTAGATAGAGAGAGCCTCCCTGCGTCCCAGCAGAGATGTCCTTGTGCGCTCATGGCTTCAGTCTTTCCTCCTCACATGTCGCGTTACCTCCTTCCAGGAGCTGCACCGGGTACGAGGGTGCAGCAATGAAGCTGCAGACACCAGCCAGAGGTGAGCCTGTCCTCGTGGAGCCTGCAGGCCACGGTACTTCTGACATTAAGGCACGTGTTAGGAGCAGCAGAGGAGGAAGGTACAGAGGACAATGGGAGTATGTACTGAGCAGGAGGAAGTGGTGCCCTCTGGATTCTGCCAACTTCTCTTAACAGACTTCTTTGCGAGGATGAAATGAAGTGCCAAAAAGAAAGATAGACTTGCCAGAAGCTTGTACCTTGAAAAATGGGAAGATTTAGGAGACAATGGCTAAGGAGGAGGGTTCTCGATGAGGAGAATTTGGTGACTGATCTGCTCGCTGTAGCTCCAGAGTCTGAACCCTGCTTTTATCTGGGCCAGCTCTGCTGGTTTCCTAATTCTTCTTCATCTTTTTCTCTTACTATGAGAACTCCAAAAGTCTCGGCCTTGGAACACTGAGGGAAGGAGTAGGGGGCAGGGGAAATGGTGACTCAGAGAAGGATCCTGTACTCTTAGATTTAAAACTCAGGAGTGTGTGTGAGCATGCACCTGTGCAAATGCACGAGGATGCTAGGAAACAAGCCGGCATGGTACCCTGGGAGATGTTGACAGCTATGAGCCACAGTGATGCGTCAGAGGTGATTGGCGGCTTCACTGTCAATGCTTCTAAACACACACACAGCATAGTCACAGATTACCTGGGTATTAGCTACTACAGTCTGCATGCAGGAGACAATCACATCATCAAAGGTGCCCTTGAGAACCCTCTCTGTCACCTCTAAAGTAACATAAGTGCACACACCGTGTTTCCTAAGGAACAAATAGCCAGTCTTCACACCAGAATATATTGCTGCTGCTTCAGTGTAGCACAAGATAAAGTATTAGGTTGTATTCAGAGCCCAGATGGTATAAGATGAATGTTTTAAAAACTAGAATCACACTTATTTGTGCAAAACCTTTACAGGACGAAAGCTGAGAAGGACTGAATTGAAGAATCAAGTCTCCAGTCTCCTCTTCTCCCTGAGACTATGCTAAACCAAAGAAAAGGGAAGTGTGTTATCTGAACAACGTAGATTGTTTCTCTCCCTCCTTTCTTTCTTTTCTCTCTACCTCTCATTCTCTTTCTTTCTTTCTTTCTTTTCCAAATATATTTATTGGGATTTTAGAAAATTAAATGCGTGTATGATGCAATTCCATGGAATTATACAGTGATGATAATTTTGCATTTTTACCCTCAAGTAATTTGGAGACAATTTTCCAAAGAAACCAAAATGTATTCATACAAATTTGTTAAAAAATAATTCTATAACATTAGGATTTGTTTATTTTTTGTGTAAGAAAAAATAGGGTTCTAATCAAGCAAATGTAGGGTGGTGGGTCAGACATCTGTTGATTATCTGCAAACACAGGGATTTCCCATGTAGACTCAAAAGATGCAGGTAACATAAGTAAGGGAAAAATTAATCTTTCAAAACTCATTGAAGTATCTATTACTCTAAATTTAAGAATTGCTGAATTTAAGGGGGAAGGTAGTTGGATAATTCAGTTTCTTTTTAGTCCTCAAAATGAGAGCTCCTATCTGTTAATTGAATCAAAGTTAATTAGTACGATTATAGAATTCCATGATTAGTATATAATTTCTGTGTTACACATTCATTTACTATCATTTAAAGGAGGAATCAGAAATTAGTCTGTATAAGAGGTGCTGATGTCTTTATTTACATGTGCTTCACTTACAGTTGGTATAATTTTTCATTTGAAATATGATTACTGATCAGCTTTGAAATAAACTCCATAAGAATGGAAGTATATTAAAGAGAAAATAGGTAAAATTTGCTCATAAGAGTGCACAAAATTTTCTGGGTACACATTTACTCACAAATGTTCTTAGTGGTCTAAGAAGATTTTCAAGAACATAATCTATAATCAAATCAGCATTTGACATGGTTTAATCTAAACTATGTTTAGATTAAAAATTCAAATAGAGGTAACTCTGAGGTAGGAATTACATTCTGATCATTGTACTATCATATGCTGACTAGTGCAGTATTCCACAAAGTTATAGATCAAGAGCTGAAAAGAAAGCATACGCTGTCAATATATGCGCATTTATGTATTCACAAATTATGTATATTGCATGATTACACTAATAATTAGGTACATTAAAAATATTCAAAAATAAATAGGAAAGATGAGACCACTGACAATATTTTTAAAAATATACATGTACGACTTCAGTATGCAGTCACCGTTTACACAAAGCAGCTTTGCTTGTGTATGCGAACATTCTCCACACTTCCATAATTAATTTAAAATGATATTAATGATGCCACAAAGGCATTTTCCTCACACAACCTCTACAAACAAGTTATTAGCAACCCTCCTACTGCATGGCTGCCTGTGGAGTTGGGAGTCAGCAGATGTGTGCAGAAACGGCTCTTATAATATTGAGGTATTTCCTAATTGATTGAAACATAGATATTTTCTCTTTTTCTTCCCATGAAGTCCTAGCCTCCTCCCTAGGAACCTTTGGAGCTCCTCAGTAGCCCAACAACTAAAGATATAATACTTGTTACTGAAATACCTGTAGGTACTAGTTCCCACAGGATTGTCAAATGAGGGAATGATAACTGTTACTGGTAAGCTGGTGTGTTTTTAGTATCTGCTGAGGCTGCCACCGGTCCTGGTGAGCAGCCCATCTCTCCCCCAGTACTGACTGTAACTTTGTTCGTCTCTTATAACTACATTGTATACATTCTGAGGGGTGTTCCTAGTCTTTTTTTCTCTATATGCCCTGTTTTTTAAAATGTAGTTTTTTTCCCTAAATGAAAGTGTTTCAGGCACATATATAACGACATTATCATAGAAACATATATAGTATAC